TCTTCACACTGTAATAAATTCCAGTCTTTTGTGATACTTTTTTTTAATCTTACGAATACATGTTTATGGGTTATGTTTAGACATTAAAACCATAGGAATATTTGCTTTTTCCTTTAATTTTTTGTGCTGTAATAATTAAGTATGGTCAATAGGTAAAGCATCAGTATTAAATACATCATGTATTTCGATGTTATCATATAATTACCCCTTTGAAATTGGTCAGATTGTGTATTAATATTTCCATTGGTCACACATGTTTCTTATCTGCATATTACTTCTCCGATAACATGTTTGAATACATGCTGTGAGTGACAGCTAGAGTAGAAAGGAATTTGTTAGTTCTAAATGTATTTCAAGGTCAAGAATGTCATGTGTTGTAAATCTTTGACTTTTATAAATTTACATCAACATACGTACTGTTATCTGTAACATGCGTTCTTGTTTAATTTATAACAAATAAAGATTAATACAATATTGGAAATACAGATAAAAAAGACATGCTTAAAGATGTGAATAATATCATAGAAAGCTCACAAAGGAGCTAGAATAGTTGATTTAGAATGTAAGTCCATAATAACTATCTCTTTACTAGGATATATGCCTATATGTAATAATTCACTAAATAGCTTTTGAGTAGATTTACAAATTTAAACTTAATTTGTTGATATATTTTAAAGTATATCATATACTATATATATATAGCTAGACTCTTTAAAATTCTTTTAGATGTCACTAGGTTTCTTTCAGAGTGTGTCGACGACTTGAGAAACACTTTAAGGGGGATATTTGCCATTACTGTTTTTTTTAGTTTTGCATGATAAGGGTCACTTGGTATTTTAGTTATATATTATGCATTTTTACACCTTTCGCTCTCTCGGTTCCGGGATTAAACTATCTGCTTTCAAAGACGACTTTATTTTCAAAAAGTGTGCATTGACATGATAGAAATTTAAATTCAAGCAATATTAATACACGTGGAAGTTGTTATATGAATTTATCATGTTTCCATGATTTTTTTAATCGCTGGGTTAATGAATATATTACATTTACTGCTGTTGACATTTGTAATATATGATACATTGTTATAATTTGCCCAACAAATTGATCAATGTATAATAAAATGATCTACGCTTTATAGGTAGCCAATATCTATTAATCTATCAGATTTCACATAAACGCTACACTACATTGATTAAATATAAATTTGGTATGATATTGGTTACATGCACTGTATAAATCTTATTATCCTGACAGTGTAATCAATGAGAGGCAACAGTAACTAACTGATGTGAAAAATGTGATATTCGTATATTTTTAGCACTCGAGACATCTGATACAGCTGTACCAAGTTTTAAGCTTCCTGTCAAATAGTTTCAGAGAGGATGTGTTCACAAGGTGTCACTGTAACAATACCCCAAACCATAGTCAAAGTCCAATACCTCCCGTAATTTATAATTATGACCTTATTACTAATAATTCAGGTCAACACAGAAGTGCTTCTACTGGGTTAGTTCCAAGCCAGCAGACATTTGACGTTGTATAAACATCAGTTCGACGTCAGACCCTAACGTCGCGCCTACGTTAGATTTTGGTTGTATATGATATTTTTTAGACGTCAAAAACTGACGTCTACCCAACGTCTTGACATACGTCCGTTCAACGTCTGTACAACGTAGTTACAACATTAGTACAACGTTGGTACAACATCCGACCAACCAACAGAATGAACCTGAATAAGGATGTTCCACGTCTGTACAACGTCTAATCAAAGTCCTAACAACCACTATTAAACCTCTTTAAATATCCTCAGATGTGTGTACAACGTCTAATCAACCTCCTAACAACCACCATTAAACCTCTTTATATATCCTCAGATATCTGTACAACGTCTAATCAACGACATAACAACCACCATTAAACCTATTTAAATATCCTCAGATGTCTTCAGAGCTAATTAAAGACCAAAGTTAAACCTTGTTAACGTTCTTAAATTGGACAACTTAAGGTAATGAAACAATAATTCATACAAGTTAACGTCCTGAATACGTGCTTCTAAACCTTAGAAAATCATTCCTTCCAACAAAGGTTGGTAACCTTTTAATTCAGTGCTGGTGGACATAATATGTCTCCACAACTACTTTGCACATCAATCTGGTGTTGACCAGGGGTTCAAAAACGGTCGCTTTGTCAGGGCTTGACCAGTAAATAATATTTTTGACTTGATATGCAGAGCCTGAAATGGACATATAAAGTTTTGTCAGGTTAATAAAGGAGAAACCAACAAATATCAATTAGCTAAGTTCTAAAAGGCAGAACTATGAGCTTTGAACACTTGAAATATGTGTTGAAACAAAACAATAAATAATTGAATGAATCTACATATTTTAATGTGGTATTTTTAAAAAAATCAATGTCAATTTTCTGCTCCATTTCTATTGATGATACTTCAGGTAAGCTTCTGTTACCTGTTTGTCATGTTCCGTTTCTAAAATAAAAAATATATAATTCATGTGAAAACCAAACAGTTTAGCGTTTACAACATAATGTCATTAGTGCTGCATTATCGATGTTTAAAGCAAACTTTTAGGCAAAGAGTTACACCCCTGATTTTAATTACAAATTGTTCTAGGTAAAGTAAAACTATAAAGTAAAACTATTCTTTATAATTCTTTTATATAGCAGAGATCATACATTGCAAACACAGATCAATGATGGAAAATATAAAGTATATTTTTTCAAATTATCTTGAAATACCACGGAGATTTTGACAGTCACTCATCTTGAGATACAATAATGCCCCACAAGCACCGAGATCTTGACAGTCATGCACTCATCTTGGAAAACAATAATGCATCGCAAGCACCGAGATATTGGCGGTCACCCATCTTGAGAAACAATAATGCACCACAAGCACCGAGATCTTGACAGTCACTCTTCTTGGGAAACAATAATGCACCGCAAGCACCGAGATCTTGACAATCACTCATCTTGAGATACAATAATGCCCCACAAGCACCGAGATCTTGACAGTCACTCATCTTGAGAAACAATAATGCACCGCAAGTACCGAGATCTTGACAGTCACTCTTCTTGGGAAACAATAATGCACCGCAAGCACCGAGATCTGTACAGTCACTCATCTTGTGATACAATAATGCCCCACAAGCACCGATATCTTGACAGTCACTCATCTTGGAAAACAATAATGCACCGCAAGCATCGAGATCTTGACAGTCACTCATCTTGTAATACAATAATGCCCCACAAACACCGAGATCTTGACAGTCACTCATCATGGGAAACAATACTGCACCGCAAGCACCGAGATCTTGACAATCACTCATCTTGAGATACAATAATGCCCCACAAGCACCGAGATCTTGACAGTCACTCATCTTGAGAAACAATAATGCACCGCAAGTACCGAGATCTTGACAGTCACTCATCTTGGGAAACAATAATGCACCGCAAGCACCGAGATCTGTTCAGTCACTCATCTTGTGATAAAATAATGCCCCACAAGCACCGAGATCTTGACAGTCACTCATCTTGGGAAACAATAATTAATGCATCGCAAGCACCAATATCTTGACATTCATTAATCTTCAGAAACAATAATGCATCACAAGCACCGAGATCCTGGCAGTCACTCATCTTGAGAAACAATTATGCACCACAAGCACCGAGATCTTAACAGTCACTCATCTTTGGAAACAATAATGCCCTACAAGCACCAAGATCTTGACAGTCACTCATCTTGGGAAACAATAATGCATTGCTAGCACCGAGATCTTGACAGTCACTCATCTTGGGAAACAATAATGCATCACAAGCACCGAGATATTGACAGTCACTCATCTTGGGAAACAATAATACATCACAAGCACCGAGATATTGACAGTCACTCATCTTGGGAAACAATAATGCATCACAAGCATCGAGATATTGATAGTCACTCATCTTGGGAAACAATAATGCATCACAAGCACCGAGATATTGGCAGTCACTCATCTTGAGAAGCAATAATGCACCGCAAGTACCAAGATCATGACACTCACTCATCTTGAGATACAATAATGCCCGACAAGCACCGAGATCTTGACTGTCACTCATCTTGAGATACAATAATGCATCGCAAGCACCGAGACCTTGACAGTCACTAATTTTTGGAAACAATAATGCCCCACAAGTACCGAGATCTGTACAGTCACTCATCTTGGGAAACAATAATTAATGCACCTCAAGTACCGAGATCTTTTCAGTCACTATAATGCATCACAAGTACCGAGATCTTGACAAACACTCATTTTGTATAATAAAACATCCATAAAAAATGTATCCTACATTGCCAGATAGACCCTTATAATTTTAATATAATTCAAAATAAATAGTATTCATGTATAATTAGTTATATTGATATATTTTATTTTATATTTAAAGTCTTTATCAATAGATATTTTTGGCATGTTTGCTATACGCAAGAAGTAGTTAAACATTGAAACTTTGTTTACATTATTCTTCACACTGTAATAAATTCCAGTCTTTTGTGATACTTTTTTTTAATCTTACGAATACATGTTTATGGGTTATGTTTAGACATTAAAACCATAGGAATATTTGCTTTTTCCTTTAATTTTTTGTGCTGTAATAATTAAGTATGGTCAATAGGTAAAGCATCAGTATTAAATACATCATGTATTTCGATGTTATCATATAATTACCCCTTTGAAATTGGTCAGATTGTGTATTAATATTTCCATTGGTCACACATGTTTCTTATCTGCATATTACTTCTCCGATAACATGTTTGAATACATGCTGTGAGTGACAGCTAGAGTAGAAAGGAATTTGTTAGTTCTAAATGTATTTCAAGGTCAAGAATGTCATGTGTTGTAAATCTTTGACTTTTATAAATTTACATCAACATATAAGAACGAAATTTTATCCGGTCTGAGATTACATAGTTGAACTTCAGTACGGTGTTATAAATAATTACTTGCCAGACGAATTAATTCTTCTATTTCATCCGATGTTCCATGATATATTATGAATCCATCCTCCCTGTATCTGTAATGATAGAATTTTGGAGAAGGCGTTACAAGTTGAAAAACTTGTGTCTCATTCATTTGTCCATTTTGAACAATTAAATATGTTTTAACTAATGATAGAATTATACTTTTGCCAAACGCTTATGCTTTTTATCAAATCATTGTTCATATTTTTTTCTAAATAAGTTAGTTCTTTTATCCATTTTTCAATTTATAAGTGCATACGTGCATAATTATAAATCATATCTGATCAGAGATCTGATCTACACAAATCACTAAACTCATACTTGCGGGGACAGCGAATAATTACTGCTACAATACTGTTTACACTAAATTATCATATATCTATTATCAAAGCTGACAAAAAATGAAAATTATACTTACTTTGCACTTTTTACAGCTATGTATATCACACGTCGTAGAAATTGTTGTTGTTATCAAATTGGCACACATAAATTCGAAATGTCGGTCTCATACGCATGCGCCAATTCAAATCAAATCTGTTTGTGTAATTTAAATATTTTACTGCGAAAAAGTGATGCATACACTTTTATCATGTCAATTTGAAGATTTATATATATAAACAAAAGTAATCATTGAATTAATTCAAAAATAGAAGTAAACCAATATAAATAAAAAGTTGCGAGCCTGCTTAGTATATATATGTCCGTGTACGTGTGATTTCGATATTCTAGATTAATTTAGACGTCCGACCGACGTTGTATAAGGTCGCGACCAAAAACCAAGGTTGTATAGATGTCATTCTATAACGTCCGACAGACGTTTGCCAGCCGACGTTGAACCGACGTTGAATTCAGGTCGCCGATGTTGCGACCTATTTTCAACCAAATATCGACGTCTGTACAACATCGGGTGCCTGCTTGGTTATATCCTCGGGAAGGAAAACTTCACCAGCAGTAGTATCGACCCAATGGTTGTAAATAAACACATCATAGGTACCAGGATTAAAATTTTGTAAGCCAGATGCGCGTTTCGTTTACAAAAGAATCATCAGTGACGCTCGATTCAAAAAGGTTAAAATAAGAATTTGAAGAGCATCAAGGACCCACAATTTCAAAAGGTTTTGCCAGATACAGATGAGGTAATCTATTCCTTGGGAAGAAAATCCTTAGTTTTCCGGAAAATTCAAAGTTTTGTGAACAGTTGATTTATAATTATGACCATATCAATCATAACTCAAGTTAACACAGCAGTGCTGACTGGGCTGGTGATATCCTGAGGAGGAAACCTCTACTAGCAGTGGCATCGACCCAGTGGTTATAAATAAACTAATAAACTAATTTACCATCCATGTCAAGTCCTAAAATATAACCTCTGTTAATTGACATTAAAGGTTCCAGTAAGTTTCTTCTACTTTCTTTTATATACACCTGTTCGCTATTTAGTCCAATCCGGGAAAAAAATCATTTAGACACAACTTCCTGTTTGGGTCAAGGATTGCAACTACAAAGGTCATTAGTAACGAGCTGAGGAAGGAAAATGTTTAGAAAGCAGACATTTTGAAACTATGATGGATTATGATCCACTTTTTTAAAACATAAATTAAAATCATAAAAATGCTTTGTATGATGTGTACGATTGTTTAAACAGTTCTTTTTGAAAAGTTCTATGCATAATACATTGTTTAAACAGGGCCCTAGATAGCTTCAACTGGATGAAAAAGTTGTGTAATTTCAGAACTTATCCAGATTGGAGAAATAGCGATAAGGTGTATTCCAACTGTTCAAGTTTCATTTCAATCAAGTTATCATCCGGAAACCATTTTTCCATTATTTTTTTTTTTTAATAAATTAGAGTCAACAGAAGTTAAAAGATTTGCATGTTTCATATATGCAGTAAGAAGATATAAATCAATAAAAATCTGAGGTAAATGCAAGAACTCGACCGGATGCGTCGACAGTGTGAGTGTCTACAGCTGGTCATGCATTATCCGCCATACGAATCCAAACCGAGTCTTAAACCTATAATTGTTTACTTTTTACACATTGTGACTTGGATGGAGAGTTGTCTCATTGGCACTCATACCACATCTTCTTATTTATATTTAATGTTACAATCGATAAAAGGACACAAAAGGAAATCTAACGATCAGACGACTATTGAAATACAAAACTGTAAAATAGAATGAACATAAGCAAAGTCTATAATAAAGGAGTAAGGCCCAGTTTTGGCCCAAGAAAATAAAATGTTTGACAACTATTTCAAATTGGCACATAATGTTTGGAAATGCATAGAGTGAAGAAATATCAATGAAAAACATTAGATTTTTTATCTGATGACGTCACAATTACGTCATAATATGTACCGTTTTCATGAAAACGATGAAAAATACAGAATTAGTGCAATTTTCCAACGTTATTTCCATTACGGAAACATCGTGCACAGCCAAGAAACAACAAAATAATTTAAGAGAAGCTTTATTAAAACTATTGACATAATCTTACCAAATATAAATTTGTTTCTAGGGTGCGCACATACTTTTCTATTCTAAAAAGTACTTAGCATTTGATGAAAAACAAGGAAATTCAAGAAATTTTACAAAATATACAAATTTCGTCATGGTTTGTTGCCATGGGAGCTCGTTTAATGTGAAATTTGTTTTTATTTTCTGAAAAACCATGTACTTTAGTCTAGTTAGGGCAAATTTAAGAATATGTATGATAACTTTTAAATTTGCAGTAATATTTGGGCCAAATAAGTGCCTTATTTCCCCAACGCCTTTGTGTCATAGAACTTCTATCTAATATTATATTCAGAAATATTATTCTAGTGCTGTGAACATTTCTTTGAACTGATATGAAAACATAGGGGTCTACGTCTTCGTTTTGTCTGTTTCAATAAGTTAAGTTTGAATGATGTGATTTGCTGTGATCGTCTGATTGATTAAATTCCTGTAATGAATATGTCATGCGTATTTAGGACGAGAAAAAAAAACATTTAATACAATATGTAGGTTTTGTAAAGTAGTTCGACCATGATGAAGGCGAGACCTTTGGACTGCAATCGGAAATTGAGAGTCGCACACTTTTCTTTGCAACTGGTCACATACTGACCCCTTAAGGGCATACGATACAGTTACAGGGGAAGTAATGACGTTGCTAACGTAAATTGTTATTTTCGCGACGTCAAACTGTGACTTATCGGGAAAAGATGCAGTTTTCGACTGATTTTTATCATTCAAACTGATTTAACTTGAAAACGAGTTCATGGACCCTTCTTTTTTAAAATGACATTTGGTTTGATTACGTATGAAGATTATGTGTACCAATTTTCCTGAAAAAGTCAATAGTGCAATTATTTTAAATTTGATAAGTATACAGCCAAAATGACATTTTTTTTCTACATTAATGAACATTTGATAAATATGGGTTATTTGTAAAAATAAAATGTACAAATTTATAGAACATTTATATAAAACAGAAATTACAAATAATTTGACAAAAAACAGCTTGTGTTTATCTTTTAAAATTAAAGAAGTTATGTATTTCTGTCGAAAGGAAAAATACGTCAACAAATCCAAATATCAGGAAAAGTCTGAAATTTCAACCTCAATTTACTCAAAAAGTAGCACATGACGGTGTATTTTTTATTGCATATTTGATTTAAGCAGGTAAAAAATAGCCTATATGCAAATTTTCATCAACATTTCATTACGGGATCAAAACTGTATCGTATGTTCTTAAAGAGTTGTTACTTAGGTTCCTTGACGTGAAGAGAGCGTGATACTTCCACTACATTTGGCACTTTTCGTACTGTTGTAACATCCGTTACCAAACGTTTCTCAAAACTGTAATCAATCCTTTATGACGTGACGCAACTATAATCGCGTTTTGATAGTAATACGTGTTTCTCTTTATAAACGTTTCAATTCATTTCAATTTCAATAGGTATTAGGGGAAAATGTGCACTTCAACCACTTATTAGTAAACAGTTACTTGGCCTTTTCAATAGTCTTGCTTATATTTTGTCTTTGCTTTACCACCCGAAAACATTAGGAAAAGATTTAACATCCAATATAATTAGAACCCGTAAAGTTTCATAACAGATTTCACCACCCAATGTTGTTATTAAATCCGATACCGTTTCTATTCGGGGTAGTTTGTGAATATCATCTGTGAATGGATATACCTACATTTGATGATTGCTTCATATCAGGACAATTTCACAAAAATTTTCAAAGAAATCTACTGTTTAATTCAAATGCGACTTTGGAAATACTATAAAAAAGCAGATTGTACAGGGACAATGTGCACGACAGTATAAACTCCACATTGAAAGGCAAATAAACTTTTCCTTGATGAAATATGACTACATTTGTATATACGCAACAAGGCTAATTACGAACCATCATCTAAAGTCAGTTAAATATAAGTTGATAAGAATCGCTTGTTATCTTCTGCTTAGGTATGAGTACATTTAAAGGTTTAATATGAATAAGCGCTCTCATAAACTGACAAAATGTTAAATAAAGACATTCCCATGGAAGCGCGGGAAAAATAGACAAACATCTGAAACGATTTTTTTTTTTAAATCAAAATGGTATGTTATGAGTAAATTGAATGAAGTAGAATGAATAAAACTCTTATAATTTAACCAAAAAGTATACAAATATCTGTTGCTGTTATAACAGACTTTAAAGCACTTTGTTTGTTTGTATGATATGAAAAGTGTTTTAACAGAGGCGAAAGATTCCAAAGGGATATTCAAACTCATAAGTCCAAAAAAAAAACAAACAAACAATGCCATGGCAAAAAATGAAAACGACGAAAAGAAAAGCAGTATACAAAACATGACAAGGAAAACTATTGACTGAGCAACATGAACCCCACCAAAGGGAAGGACTAGCAGATCCTTCTCCACATGTGGCACCCGTCGTGTTGCTCACGGAAGTAGAAATCCGGCGATAAGTCTTATTAGGTAGGTCACATTCGAGGAAAAAAAGACTGGATTGTGGTTACAAATGGAACATATCCGTCATCATCTGTGAAACAGATATTCAATAACGGTCAACAAACTCGTGATTGCGTCCGTAAAACTTGCAAAGGGATGATTTCAACTGCACCACTTTGAACTCTTGGTTTAATAGCTTCTTTGTAAGCAGCAACCCTCTATCAAAGAAATCATGATAGGAAATGCTAGCTCTGGATTATCGTATCAATTTGGAAATATATATACTCCCTATGCACGTGCTAGTTGAATCTACAGTTCTATTTAATCAGAAGCTGTAGTAAAAAAGGGAAAAATAGCAAGGGAAATTCAAAACGGAAAGTCCTTTTTCAAATGGCAAAATCAAAAGCTCAAAAACATCAAACGAATGGAAAACAACTGTCATATTCCTGACTTGGTACAGGCATTTCCTTATGTAGAAAATGGTGGATTAAACCTGGTTATATAGCTAGCTAAACCTCTCACTTGTATGACAGTCGCATAGAATTCCCTTATATTGACAACAATGTGAAGGCAAAACAAACAGACATAAAAGGTAAAATGGCAACACAGTACAGAAGCTTTAAGAAGTCAAGAAGTGTATTGCTTTTTAAGGTGTTAAAATCTAAAGGTAGAAACAATCGGAAAGTTTGAAAAATGAAAATAAAGCAACCGAATTTTGAAAATATATATTTGATTTAATGGATTGTTATTACAAGCAAAATTAGTCCATTACAAACACAGTATATGATTGGAAAATAAAAGATGACAATTACCGGTAATAGGTGAATTGCCAATGTTTTCCGAAACTTTTACTCTTAACGGTAGTCACTTCTGACTTCAGCTTGAGATTGAATCAACCGACATTATCCTTTCACAGGATGAAACATTCAACTTGCATGTTTAAATTGGCGTAATGTGTTCTCATTTAACACGATATACTATGATAATTCCGTCTGCGTTCTCCATAAATCCATCATACGTGGTTATCTCTTCCTTTCTCCATTTTCCATCTTTCTCTAGTTGATCACATAACGGGAAAAACTTATCCACGTAATCTGGTGATTCATAAAAAGGGGAACGTCTATTCGATATACAGATTATACCACCTAAAAATTAATAAAGATAAGTTAGAGACGAAATGGTCAGTAAGACACATCTTTAACTGATTATATCACATTATTAAATGTTCGTTCTTGCTTTCGAAACCATTTAAAGAGGGTTCAAGGTGGAAACAGTGTTTGATTTATTTATTCAACCAATAAGTGCATTTCAGTTGTTTTAATCGTCAGTAAAATTCGAAACATCATATATTCATGTTCTTAAGTCCAGCTTTTGACAACACAACAAAGCTTTGTACTAGGATGCAAATTAATTGTACTTTGGTTATTGTGTCTTTCTATTCAAATTTAAAGAAAACATGTAACATTTTCATTTTCTTATCTTATTTTAGCAAATAACATGTTTATTGACTCTTAAATATTCAAATTCCATAGGGTGTCATTAGATTAAGATATTGCCTCTGTTTATACTTTTAAACTTCCGCAAAAAGAGAAAAGTAAGTATAGTAACCGTCAAAGCGAAATTAATATACTAGTAACAAGAAAGAGGCGAAAGATACCAAAGGGATATACAAACTCATAATCGAAAATAAATGTACAATGCCATGGCAAAAAAAGACCAAAAGACAAAAAACTGTTTACAAAAAACAACATAGGCAACTACAGAACCATTCAAAAGAGAAAACATTTGAGATCACTATATGTTAAAACTCGCAGATAGTAATATTACGTCATAATGCTTATAGTCTATTGAACAGATATATCGTTACCAGAAGAGGTGAAATTTCACCAGCCGCTAGGCCTAGTAAATTTATTCATAAGATGTACGTCTCATGTTCATGATACACATGTTTCATTACACCGAAAATCGATAGGGATTGTCGAGTTAAACATTTGTTTCATTATCCATTTCAACTTCAAGACGTTTAGTTAGCAAAAAAACGACCGCCATCAATAAAGCGCACACATCATCATGCCTTTTTGTGAAGGTAATAGCAGATATTTACATTTTGGCGATTACAACGAAATAGAGGTTAATAAAATATATATCATTGTGGATATACCCTGGTGGTGAAATATGAAATTCAACCTAATTCGCCTGATAAAGAACAAACATGAAAAATACACTGGCTATAAACCAATCCAGGATACTGATATGAGTAAAATGGACGACTAAGGAAAAATGATGGTATTACCTGGTTTTGTTATTCTTATCATTTCAATTATGGCGTCATACGGGATATGGCCTGTATTAAATGAACCAACAACCGCCAGCAAATCGAAGCTGTCTACAATTTAACACAGAAAAAATAATCAGCAAAACTACATATATATGTAAATGACGATTATTTTGATAATGATGATGAAATCTAAGTTCAGTCTATCTAATGTTTAGTTTTAAAATATTAAAAAAAAATCAAAGTATTCTGGTATAAATATGTTTGCACGTAGATCATACTTCTCATTTTATATTCCTTATTTAAATTAATTTTAAACCGACTATTTCTGAAACATTTGTACAAGTATTTGAAGCATACAATTTTTCTTTCAATACTTTCCATAATTTTAAAGATTATTTGTTCTACATTATATAAAGTGAATTAATTTAAAATTTGGTATTTTTATTCAGTGCTACAAATGTATTACCTTGTTTGAAAAATGGCAAAGGCTTGGATGTAAAGTAACTGCAGAATACATTTCGATATAACTTCTTCTTTTCTGCCTCTTTCAACATTCCTGGAGATGGATCCAATCCATCGATGGTTTTAAATCCTTTTGATGCCAACTAAAGCATATGAGTGCAATGTATGTTAATAAGCATTTAATTTGTGTGTACTGTAAATCGCATGATCATTGAACATGAAATCGGTGTCCAAATTGTCATTTGTCATATACTTAAAAAAAAACAATCATAGTTACAATGTGTACAAATTTTCAAATTCAAAATAACCTGTAACGGGATAGACAAACGGACGACAATACAGGCGGAAACAAAGACTAAATACCGTAGTGCATCCTACTGTTGTAGGCAAGACAGACAAACGGACGACAGTACAGACGGAAACACAGATTTTTTACCATAATGCATCATACTATTGTAGGCGGGACAGACAAACGGACGACAGAACAGACGGAAACAAAACTTATATACCGTAGTTCATCCTACTATTGTAGACAAGACAGACAAACGGACGACAATACAGACGGAAACAAAGACTTTTTACCATAATGCATCATACTATTATAGGAGGAACAGACAAAAGGACGATAATGTAGACGGAAAAAAATTATATACCACAATGCATCCTATTATTGTAAACAAAGAGCTGTAAATTTGTATTTTGTTATTACTCAAAGACAAAAGATACGTTGAATTCGGAGGAGCTATTCGTATTGTTTTTATTTGTTATTCTCCAGTATTGTTTTGCATGAAGCTGTGTTTTGCCTATTGAATAATGTTTCCAATAATTACTTTTGGCTGATGATTTTCATTGTATGATTTGTTCTTATTCTGCTTGATACAATATAAGTGATTTAAGTATTCACAAAAATCTGTTCAATCCGGCTACATGTGTCGAGGTTGCTAAATCAACAACGATATATATTCTGAGCCCGTGTTTTTACTAACATAATATTACTGTGAGATTGGTACGTGAGAAATTTTTAATTTGTAAAATATGTTAAAATCTTATGTTATCTTCAAGATTCATTAATGTAAATGAGGTTGTCTTGGTGTCCTTTTGGTAATTTGTTTTGGTTTATTTATATGCAACGTTTCAGCCATTAATTGTCTATTCATTTTCATAGATCTGCATCTCAGCCATCACATAAACGAAGATAACTTGTAAGTTTGAATTATACCAGTTGAAAACGAAATAAATTTGTGTTCATCTAAAGAAAAAACAAAAGTAAGAAAAAATTCAACGGTTAAGGATTAATAAGTTGTCGTCATTTAGGCATATAGTTGTTACACACAAAAGCGTTGTTTCTAGTAAACATATGTTGAATATTATTGCAAAAGCTCCCAGATGATAAAATATTTTTGAATCCCAATTGCTGAGGTTGTTTAGATTGATTATGTTTTGAGGTCGTTTTCATACAGGTGTATTATAAAAAAAAAACAATACACCAGTCTTTTTCCTTTATAGCTTGCTGTTCGGTGTGAGCCAATGCTCTGTGTTGAAGGCCGTACCTTGACCTATAATGGTTTACTTTTATAAATTGTAACTTGGATGGAGAGTTGTCTCATTAGCACTCATACCACATCTTCCTATATCTATTTTATATGATTACCTCTTCCGCTAGAAAACCAGTTCAAACCAGTCTTTTATATGCTTACCTTTTCCGCTAGAAAACCAGTTCCAATCAGTCTTTTATATGCTTACCTCTTCCGCTAGAAAACCAGTTCCAGCTCCAACATCAAGCAGAACAATGTTTCCTCTGTTTTCAGGGTAATATTTACATATTACTTCACTACATTTACTGTTTGCAGCGTATCCAAATTGTTTTAAATTCTGGAAAAAAGAAATTGTTAGGTTACCTAAGCAATAGATTTTTGGTAAAATAAAGCGGCTCGTGAAAGAATGCTGGAAATTGCAATCGGTCAGTTAAGGAGCTGGTATCTCCTGGTAGTTCACAAATTTAAATTGATTTTTATGAATATTCTTGAATTAAAACAACGTTACAGTCAAGTTGTTGGACATATATTTAAAGTAACTAAGAGAAATTAACGGTGAAATGTTTATCTGTTTAACTGCGTGTGCAAAAAAGGACAAAAACTGGTTAAAATTATGAGTGCTTCCACTAGAAAAAGAAAACAATTTCTTCGTCAATTGACAAACATATATTTGAAATATACTGTTGTATGAGAAAGAACGACTGAAATTGACATTTCATACGTTTTACGATCTCCATTACGAATTGGTTGACCGAAACATATGCTTGTGTCTCATTTCGTCAGCGAAATGCTTTCTTTGATCTTTAGATGAGGTCATTCATCTGATCTATATATTGACCGAATGCGTCTTATTCTCCATAGTGACATATAAACAGAGTGTGGATACGAGTGGCAGATAGTGCATGCATAGCAGGAGGCACTTATCCGTTTCGACATACCCGGTTCCGTTATCCGTTTCGACATACCCGGTTCCGCTCCGTTTGAAGTTTATGCGATTCCTCAGTTTTTGTTTTGATCTTGATTTTTTTTAAATCCTGAATTGATTCCTGATATTTGAATATCGATTAACTACGACAGTCTAATTTACCATCTATTAGAAAAGTATTATGCAGTAAACGATATAAATGGTATACAGATTTACAATCAATGAAAAATAGATATGACATTAACCAGCTACAACTACTGAATTACAGGCTCATAACTGGTAGAAAAAGATGGTGTCGGGGTTAAACGTGTGAGCGCTCAACCATCAACCTAACATGGAACAGTGGTGTAACAACACAAAATAAGAACACACAGAAAAATCAGTTGCAATTGATTTAACTCAATAGATCGGTACGAAGCACACAAAAATAACTACAGACTAGTTCAAAGCCAATTACAAATAGTAAATGAAATATATTCTCCGGACTAAAGTCTTACTAAATGTTTGGTTTTTTGTGTAGTGCTTTGTGGATTGTTGTTTGTCTTTTTGCTGGTTTTTTTTCATTTGTGTCGCTGCATTATTGGTTTTCTCTTGGCTTATAATTTTCGAGGCCCATGTTATTTTTCCTCTTTCTGGAAAACATATTTCTGAGCTAATGCTTTAAATGAATCATTTATGGAAAAACTGTTGTGTAATGGAAGTACGATATCTATTTTGATATTAAACCGCCTTTGAATACATAGTGACTTTTGGGGTGGAATATATGTTTTTTTAACCATAGCGATTCTGCAGGAAATTTACAACAATTATGATCGAAACGAAAACAAATCTTCGGTTCGTAATGATATTATTTTGAGGACAATAATAATCTTGCATGAAACTTAACTCATAATGCTATCCAGGTGAAAAAAATTATGTAATGGTATATCAACAACTCACGGATAGTCAACAATGTTCATCTTTATGTCATGTATTGTTGCGCCCATTTAACGTTATACGGTTCAATGTAGCCATTACATAGCTCAATTAAGCTTTGACCATTGATAATATAGTCTTACCAATTCATATGTAGAGCTCCAGTCGTTGTACAAATTGGTTTTTTCCTCCGTATTTAAATTCTGGCTAATTAGTTGTTTAACTGTAGTATCATAAAGAGATTCTTTATCCATGCTTAGGTTTGAAACTAAAATATATTTAAACAAATAACATAAATACAATATTTGAATAATTTTTTTTCTTCCATGATGCAAAAGAAATTATAACAAACACAACGACATAAAGGTGTTGTGATTTTTCTTTGGAAAACCAACTTATACAGCAGATGAACAAGATATGGAAACATCTCAATAGTAACAATTAAGTAACAAAAAAGTACATTTACCAGTCATTCAACTCAAACATACACCAACTGAATCTATACTGTCACATGACAGAACTATAGATAAAAATGAAGACCACAAGGAATATTCAGGCTACATCATGAAGACAGAATATTTTGTTTTTACACAACTCGTTACCATTGTCATTGGGACGTCGGTGGCCGAGTGTCCATGCTGTTCATCCACCTTTTCTCTAGCTTGTCAACACTAAAATTGTAATAAACACATACTCCTTTGCATAATTAGACATGACCCAATGCATCATACATTTTTTTTCAAATTAAAATTTTTTCATATGACATTTTGTGGCGAAATATCTTTTTGGTAATGTCTTGGTTCATATCCAAATATAAATGACAATATTTTAAAATGAGGCAATTTTGGCATATTTTCCAGATTTGCCTTTTATTGAATGGCTTGAAAAAAAACAAATACGTAAGATACAATCGGAAAATATAATATTTATACTAATGTCTGATAAACTAATTTCTTGAGACGATCTGCAGGATGTTAATGTTCGAATTCAAGGGTAAAAATGTTGGCTTTACATACTTCTCCCTTGTTGAATTTCTTATAATATTTACTTGATCTATGTTAAGGCTAAAACAGGTTACTCGTACTGAAGATGTTGACGAATAAACTGATGAAAGGACAGACAGAGAGACGGGATATAAATATATAGCCTTATTCGGATTCGCCAGTAGATGCTCAATAAGCCGAGAGAATGATAACTGCAAATCATGCCAGCTCTGTAATGCAACATATCATTTATTCTTCGGAGAAATAAACAAACTCGTCTACGTTGCAATTTCCGAGGCAATACAGGTTTCAAAAATATGAAATAAATGTTAATAGCATTTTATGAATTGTTGCGTTCGAAGCAGGTAAGTTAGTCTAAAAAAGTATTTTTATTATCTAATGATTAATTGTTTTTTTATTGGTGTTTAACGCGAGTTTCAGCACTCTTTACTATTTCGTGGCGGTCAAGTTTCATTGATAGAGTAAGCCGAAGAGAACCATCACCCGTCGGCCAGAAAATTTATCTAATGAAGTTTTATTATCAAACTAAAGTAGATATACTTGTAATAGTCAAACCTTAACCATTAGCAACAGTACTATGTAAACTATATTGTTTTACACATACCTGAGTTATTCACACAATTTCAAACGCGAAAAGGTAATTGCTGTTGTACATTCCGCATGAAAGCATGTTTCCTGTCAGTCCAAAATAATGTAATAAAATGAAATACATATACACCTATAAGAAAACGACTTAAAGTTTTTACTGTTTTATACACATGTTGAAATGAATTACCTGTATTGTGCTGTAACATCTACAACCTCGAGTGTGAAAATATTACAGATAACTGTGTATCGGTTACATGTCCTAATTCTTGACTTTTATTCATCTACTTATTTTTCGTATGAAGTTATTTTTATCTTTCTTGTCTTTATCTAGTTGGCAACTCTCAAAAAAATATTAATTTTCAATGCAGAGGCAGGTAGCGGAATCCAAAAAGATAAATAAAGAAAGATTTTTTACGGTATTCTTTTATCAGTGTCTTTATCATGATTAAAAATGTTTGATTGTTTTCTTTTTATTGAAATTGAGTACATTGGTTAAAGTTATATGAAACTTTAAACAAAAGTTGAATATGTTTTATATACTTGAATGGCTACGATTTACTTTAAAACAAGAATTCGCGGACTTTCTTGTAATCGATTTTTTTTTTATATTATCAAATCTTCAGAAATGTACTGCTATTGAATTATTGTCTACCCGCACACTAATTCACCGTTATTTTCCCGTATGCAGTGACCTCAACTACAAGACCTCTCGTTAGAACTTCGGCCACCGCACAGCGCAAGTGCGAGGGGAAACCCGTGATGAAAGAATGTAAACAAACGTGCACTGGAAGGTAAATGGTAACAAGTTTGAGCTTTCTAAAAAGCTGTGGACTGCTTCGCTCTATCTTAATTGAAGGTAATATGTGTGCATGTGGTTAGTATTGGAAATGTGGTATTTTTAGATATTGACTGATATAAAATGGATGTCTTAGACTTGGAATATCAATTTTTGTTTTCATGTTAAGATGAAATTTTCTGAAATTTTAAACTGGCTAATCGGTGTTTAGTTGTCAATGTGTCTTTGTGGAGTGTGGATTTCTAGTTCTTTCAGCTGGTCATTGACTTGCGATTTTGATTGCTAGTTCTGTTTATAATTCATTTAGATATATATGAATGTTTAGGTATGTTGATTAAGAGTAGCATGATTTCGAGTGATGAAGACAATAACAATCAAAACCAAGGAGGAAACAAAGACTTGTACAACCAAAATATATATTCACTTTACTGGTTGGAAATTAAAACATTTACAAATAGACACGACTCTGGAGGTGTTCCTGTCTGGAGTTGTTCCTAGATTGGCAGAAGTTATAAAATACAGATAATGCATTTTTGTAAACATTGTATAGGAACATTGTTTAGCAAACCAAATCGTGCGTATTGCAGATTAACAAAGCAAATAAACGTATTAATAATTGATATTTCAATTTTGAATTTGAGTGTGCAATATATGCATAATAAAACGAACATAAATTAATGACAGTTGAACGGAACTGAAATACACATACTTAAATTTTCCGGCATTTGATGTCTTATCCTGAGACGAGAAAAGTCTGTAATTCTTTATCTTATTTAAGCCAATAGCTGTTGCTGTATCTCAGCCGAATCATAAAGCAACCAATCAGAATCGAAAGTATAAAACGAGCGCACCCAGCAGTGTTTACAAGTTGTTGAGCAGTGATTGAAAAGTGCTATTTACGGTATATTTATTCATTTGTGGAGGAAATTTTTCAAGTCAGGTACATTCATATTTGTTTATTAACCATCATTAAACTATCACTGTGAAGATAAATGAGATAAATAAGAAAGTGAATTGAAATTATCCAGTTGATATTTCGCCGTTGAGTAAAAAGTATGGCGGACCAGTCCGGTGAAGAAAATAAACAAACACAAATAAACACAATGACACTACATTCACCAAAACAAGAATGCAGACAGAAGAAACGATGCATCTAACACTGACAATAAGTTAAAAAGAGCTCGGTCTAATGAAAATGTATCAGAAACCGAACAAGAAACAAATAAACGTCTGAAAAAAGATGACATTGGTAACGAATTGGGTGAATTGAAAACACTCATGTATGATCTTGCTGTTGAGATGAAAGATATGAATGACAAAGTATTTGAACGTATTGACAATTTAGAAAATACTTTTGCAAAAAATATTGTTGAAAATATGAGCAAAATGATTGACAATAAAATAAATAAAGAGGTGAATAAAGTGAAAGACGATTTTAAAGCTCAAATGACCACAGTAAACAAAAGGATTGACGGCATCGTAAATAAACTGAGGAGCGATATTAAAAACATACATACCGAGGTCGCGGACAGAGTGCGCACAGATTTAATCAGTACACAGGCAGGTGCAATTACTCGGCCGATACAGCGAGATACAAAATTTGTAGTTAAAATGCTCTCAGAAACCGATGCGGAGAAGACAGACTCTGAGCTGACAAAAAATCGGGTATCCGCTATCATTAGAGATGGTCTTCGTTTACATGATGTTCGAGTTGTTGAAGCTACAAGAATTGAAAGCAAAGGAAGTCGCCCAGGGCTTGTGATAGCTTCCGTAGAAAATGAAACACAGAAAGAGAAGTTGATGAAAAGTAAGAGAAAGTTGAAATATTAACGCGATTATCAAAAAGTTTACATTGAAAATGAACTGACATCGGAAGCACGGGTACAATTGTCAAATATGATGACAGTGCTGAACGGTATTGGCCGTGAAAAAGACTTTGTGGTTGTAAACGGCAAAATTCAGAAGAGAGGCAATAACATGAGAGGTAGAGAATATGACAATGTAAACGGACAAAGACGACCAGAAAGAGAGGAGTGGACACCAGTACAAGGACGACATTTCCGTGGTCGAGGTGGTAGAGGTGGACGCGGATATTAGGAATTAACGCTTGGTGTTTGGAACATTAGAGGGTGGTCAGCACGTCAAAATGATAATTCAAACTTTAGATGTCATGTTGTAAACGCTTTAAATTTTGATATTCTATGTTTATGTGAAACTTTTTTGAGAGAAAGTGATAAAATAAATGTAGAAGGTTATACTTGTTTTCAGAGAAACAGGGACAAAGTTCATGTTAATTCCAAGAGAGGTTCTGGTGGGGTTGCGGCTTTAGTTAAAAATGATCTATTGAAATATTATAATGTTGAAATTTTAAACAGTGAAGTACAAGATATTCTATGGATAAAATTGAGTAATGAAAATGATATAATATGTTTATGTGTGTGTTACTTACCACCAGAAAATTCTATATAATGACTCACTAGTTTTTTATACTAAACTGCTAGAACAGGTGTATATGTATCAAAATATTGGTAAATTGTATATTTGTGGGGATTTTAATTCTAGATGTGGAGATGCCCAAGATTTTATTGAAGGTGTTGATAATGTACAAAGAAGAGAAATTGTGATAGTATATCAAATAGAAATGGTGATTTACTCATTGAGTTTTTAGTAGATTGTAATATGTGTATGGTAAATGGGCGAATTGGCTCGCAAGATTTTACTCATATTAAAGGTACAGGGAAATCTGTTGTAGACTATGTCCTTACTCCACATGAACAGTTAAACGATGTAATTAATTTTAAAGTGAATACAATGTCAGACTTAGTAACTGAGTTATCGCTTGTCGGATACGAGTCGATTCCGGACCATTCACTGTTAGAATGGGGCATACGAGTTAGAACGTATATGTCGGAAGTAGAGCAAAACTAGAGCGGTATAGGAGTAAATCGGGTTAAAGGTCCAAGAAAGTTCAAGCTAGATGGATTGAGTAACGAACCTTTTTCTAGTGAAAATATGCAGAATGTATTACGAGATACTATATATCGAATTGAAGTTGCTTTAAACCGTAGTAAAGACGTGAATAAGGCTTTTATCGAACTGAAATATTTACTTATTAAAGAATTGGAGCTAACATGTAAAGAATTGAAACCGCTCGTTTCTAATATGCGAACGAATAAGTGTAAGCGGAAACCGTATTGGTCTGATGAATTACAGGACTCATGGAACAAAACGTGTGATGCTGAGAGGCAATGGAAGCGATGCAAATCAATTGGAAAATCTAAGCTCCGTACTCGATTTATGCAATCACGAAAAGATTTCGACAAATTAAATCGGAAAGCGAAGCGAAATTATCAGCTAGAACAACAAAATAAACTTCAAAAACTTAGCGAACAAAATTCATCTGAATTTTGGAAGTCTATAGGCAAATTAGGACTTGCCAATGATCGCAAATCGAGACAGACTTTTCAAATTCGATCAGAAACAGGAGAAATTATAAGTGACATGGACTCTGTATTAGAAAAATGGAAAATAGACTATAAAAAGTTGTACAACAGTGCTGATATGAATGGTTCGTATGATGACGAATTTCTTAAGGACATTAAAAGTAAACTTCAAAATAGGAATAATTTAGTCCATGACAATAATATTGATACAACTGAACTTAATAGAGCTATTGAAAGGGATGAGGTACGCGAGGCCGTTTTTCGAGCTAAGCAAGGTAAATCCGCAGGAATTAATGAGATACCGAGTGAGATTTTGCGAAATGACACGTGTATAGACTTGTTATATAAAATTATTCAGTTTTGTTTCATAGAAGGGCACGTTCCTAGTGAATGGTTAACGAGTATGATCTCTCCGATTCCGAAACCGAAAATGGATCCCCTTAATCCACTTGATTACCGTCCAATTTCATTAATATCAGTGCCGTGCAAAATATATGCGGATATTTTGAATAAAAGATTGACAAATTGGTTAGAACAAAATGACATGTTAGCAGAAGAGCAAAATGGATTTAGACGTAACCGAAGCTGTTTGGATCACTTATATGTATTAACAACAATTATTAAAAATAGAAAGTTACGAAGGAAAGATTCTTTCGTGTGCTTTGTTGATGCGAAGAAGGCTTTTGATAATGTTAATCGGGACATGTTGTGGTATAAGCTGATGAAAATTGGTATTAACGGAACGTTTCTAAAAGCAATTCAGTCTCTTTACGATGCGACACAAAGTGCAGTAAAATTAGGAAACAACTTGACAGATATTTTCCTGGTTCAATACGGTGTGAAACAAGGCTGTAAAATGTCTCCTACTTTGTATTCCATATATGTTAACGATCTTGCGGATGATATTCGCTCGCTTAATGCTGGTGTAGATATTGGTGATTTAAAT